TAAATTGCACCTTTGGTTGATCAATGCTATATGAGTTTCATTCTTGTACTTTTACATTTCTAATTTGTGAAGTATAATGCATTCTTGCATGAAATGCCTTCTATTGATTTACTTTTTCATGATTGAGATTCTATTTTATTTTTGGAGAATTTTAATCAGAATGAGATTTATTTTTCAATTCTACTCTCAAAGCATCTCAGTTGCTTCTATTAACTAACCCTGGCTTGTTGAAGATGTGATTTTTTGATAGTTAGCTGCTAATTTTAGCTAAGGTAATCTGATGAGGAATGCATGTCCTTTCATGGATATCTAGGAACCTTCATGAAGTGATGTATGCATGTGTGTTTCTTAAAATAGTGCAAAATAATCCTTAGTTTCTCAGAAGTAACCAGAGCAACTCAAGATAGATAAGTTCAGACTTTTCATCATTTACCCAAATGGGTTTTTTTGTCTATCCCAGTGCTATACGTCTAGCATTTTCTGTCATTTCTGGTTTCGTTTGATCCTTACTTTTGAAGGTTAAAGTGGTTTGTTTAGGTCACAGAGGCTTGAACATTAGGTTTCAATATAAGAACCCACATTTTATCAGCCAATTCATCTGATTTCTTATTTGAGAATGAACCAGAAAATTGTGGCTTATAAAATGGGTTTAAGGTGCTTGTTGAGCTGAGTAACTCGGGCACTTTTGAGTGGACTCGAGTTGTGTATGTGCCTGAGAATGTTTCACTATTGCCAAATCAAAACATTATTGTTAAAAACAAAAAAAAAATCAGCACAAAGCTAAAAAAATCTTAAACAATATGAAAAATCCACAAAAAAAGAAACAGAAAAAAAAAAATGTATATAGAAGAGGTAATATAGGAAATTTAATTTTTAGCTTGAAACAATTCATAAGACTTAAAAAAATGGAACAAAAAATAAAGCATATTATAAGGAAAATCCAAAATCATCATAAAAAGAACAAAGATTATATAGAAACATATTTTTGCATCATTTATTGTTCATTTAGTAAAAAAAATTATTAATTTTTAAGACCTTTACAATAATCCCAAGTACACATGGAGAACTCGCCTCGGCAGGGTTCCAAGGCCGAATTGATTGGCTGAGGACTTGGCTGAGTTTTAACACTGGTACATTGTGTTGAGGGACCATTAGCCCAATATTTTTCTTTTCCTTCATAGCATCCCCTTTCTGTTGAACTTCCTGTTCATAATCTTCTCTCTCTATTGATTTCTTCTTCATAATCTTCTCTCATCTCTATTGCAGATCAGACGAAGCTCCCCAGAAATAACAACATCATGGGTCGTCCAAACCAGAGAAATGATACATTTAGAAAGAGAAAGAAAGGCCTAAAGAAGAAAGCCTCAGAGTTCTCTATTCTATGTGGAGTAGACACATGCCTCGTAAGCTTTAGCCCCAATGGAGATCTAGATATATGGCCTGAAGACAAGTCTACTACTTGCATGAATGTAGTTCAAAGGTATATGAGCTTACCCAAAGAGCACAGAGAAAAGAAGACGTTCAATTCAACAGGCTTTTTGAAAGACAAGATCAAGAAGGTGCAAGAAAGCTCCACTCATTGAGGTGGGAGAACTCGGCAATTCTCTATCCATCTTGGGACGATCGACTCGACCACATGAGCGTAGAAGACCTTGCAGCTCTTGCCGATTGACTCAACGCAACAATTTCTTTTGTCAGAGAGAGGTTGAGCATGGGGAATGTGGGGGTGGTACAGAAAATGGAGGAGCAAGAGGTTAGAGAGATAGAGAGGGGAGAGATGATAAACCCACACTTGTTGAATCAACTACTGCCATGTAATTTTCCTGTGATGAATGTTGAGCCCATATCAATGAAACCCAGTGAGAATTTGGGCCGGCATGATGGTCTTTACGGGACCAGTGAGAATTTGGGACTGCATGAAGGTGTTTACAAGGCAGGAGAGATGGAGCAATTTCAGAATGTGAATTTTGGGGTGAGGCCCTTGATGGGATTTGACCCTAAAAATACTATGCTCACACCACTTTGAATTGTGTCCCTTTTAGAAGTGATTTCATGGGTCAATACCAGGTAAAAAATGAAAGGGAGAGAAATATACTGATCAAGAAATTGTATGATCAAGAGCAATATAGCCATGGCCACTTTCTAAGCCACTGCAATAACTACAATTATAACAATGTGCATTTGCCCAGTACTGATAGAAAGAACTACATGGGCCTTCCAAGTCAAAGTCATCAGTTCTTTGAGCTATACTGTAGTGAGCGGAATGAAGAGCTGCTTGCTAGACAAATAGTACAGGAGGGTTCTTTTTAAAAACTTATTTCTCAAATAAAGAATGCGGAAGTTGAATTTTATCTTTTTATTTATTTTGGTGAATAGTTAAAGAAATGCCTAATCTTGGGATGGCTTTTAAATGACTGGATTGACATTCATCAATGAATTGATATTGTTTCTTTCCATGTTTTGTTGATTGCAGATGTCCAAATATTTGATGTACACAATTGCACATAAACGCGACTGCACATTTTTTGAGATGTAATAATTTTCATATATATAATATATGGAAAAAGTTTATATAGACTGAATGCTACAAGACTTGTCTACTTTTAGTACACAATATCCCTTATCCATCAAATGTCAAATCCAATATTAAGGGATATATTATTGAAAAAAAAATCTTCTTTGGATTTTGAGCTTAGTCAATGATATAATCCAAACGGTCTGAGTTTATATCTAATGGTTCAGATTGATTATAGCTTTCTTGTATCAATAATAAGTTTTATTTTTTTATATTTTATTATTATAAAGGGACATATCTGATCATCCAAAATTCGAACACTTCTGTTTGATCTAAAGATTTTTATTCTTTTTCATGCACATAAATAAGGCATGTGATATTTTTCCGAGGTTGCTTCCCTAGGTTGAGGTTTGATTTCCTACAACTTAAATCTGATAGTCCAAAATATGAACATTTTTTTGTTCAATTTAAAGGGCATTATTCTTTTAAAGAAGAAGGTTTCTTGCCCTTTATTGCCTGACAATAAGTACTCTTTATTTTCTGTATAATAAAGGGCGCTGATTCTACGAGCTAGCACACTAATGGCACCTTTAGATTATTTAGTTACAAATCATGCTTATACCAACACAACATTTATTGTTTTAGATTGTTAAATAAGTAAGGCAAGTGTTTTAAAATCTAGGTATTTCTGATTCCCATAGCTGAACCAGATGGGTATTCGTTGGGACAGAAGCAGCTCGGGAATGCTATGTGTTCTAGCCTGCTTCCCTCCTAACCCCTTTTATATATTTATCACTTTTCTTTAAGCTCATCTAACACTTTTGTGGGTCTCTATTTTTTTTTTTTTTATCTTATTTTTGGATCACCGATTCAAACCGATCGAGATCATCAATACATCTACTGATTTGTGAGTGCATGATCCACCCCACCAATATGGGTTTTGAAACACTGAGCAGGAGTAATTGCTTTATGCATGACAACGGTTGCCTGTATATCCAATTTCAGTTAAAACTCAATTCGTACTGGCAGCTCAAAAATAAATTTTGAAAGGGAAACTTTCTTTGTGACCCCAACTATCGTGACCCTACGTCGGAGGAAACTTTATATGTAACCCCAACTATATATAAATTGTACGTGACCCTACTTCTGAGCCATTTGATCTTAATAGAAATATGATGCTCAAGGGTCAGCTTGTGACATTGTGACTCAAGCCTCTTAGCCATCCACTCAGATCTGACGAATATGATCAAGGTTCACAAATACTATATATTGGCAGGGCGCCACGAAATGCTTTCCCAATTTGAAGATGCTGATAAGGAAAAATTCTGACCGGAGAAGCCCACATGGTAACCCGGATCATATAGTTTAGGTGGTCCAACCCTCATAAAACCTAAGCGGATTTTTACATATTCAAATTTCTGATTCACCTTATTACTATTCCAAGACAAAAAAGTGCATTTGAGCTCTGATAGATGGAAAAAGTCTATATAAGGTTGCAAGCTTAAAATGTAGAAGTAAAGATGAGCCTAAAAAATCTATCAGAAAAGATTGTTTTAATGTTGAAAACCTCTTAATTGATCACCTCGACATTGAGACGTATGAATATGAAAAAAAAAATATCTTGAGTCTCAGAGATGGTGCATATTGCAACACATTATCTTGACCGTCCATTTTCAAGATTTTTATACGTTTATAGATCTACTTGATTTTAACCATTTTTGGAATTTAAAATTTTATAATTAATGATGAAAATGAATTTTAAGATAATCCTAAGAACATTTTTCTCCAAAATTACATGTGATAAAATTTGAAGGTGCGATTGTTTGAGGTTGCAACCTTATTGAAACGACACCCCTGATAGATTTATGGTCTCTTAATTGACTTATTTAAGTCTCCTGGGGGGGGGAATTGATATGGAGCGCTCTTCAAGCTCCAAACCACTTTATCTCCTTTCTGAGGGGGGGAATTGATATGGAGCGTTCTTCAAGCTCCAAACCACTTTTATCTCCTTCGATGAAATTGCTTGATCTTGGAGGTGATTTAAACATGATCCGAAAATTTTTAGACCAAAATGATTACCCCACATTTTTGGGGAGCTCAGCTATGTGATGTAGGGGTCAAGTTCATCACGTAATCTGCACCCTTTGTTCTGCATAAAAAACAATCAAAAGGAAGACACCAAAAAATTCAGAAATCGATTGGTAGAATTGCTGTGCAGGCTGGTGATCTAGGAAACCATGGACTGGCAAATACGCGATTTGACTGATTCTCCAGTTTGAGAATCTCAGTCTACTTAAAAAAAAAAAGGCAAAATAGTAGAAGATGCTATATGTGATCCACTGCCGAGTAGGACTGGTTCCTAATACTTGCCAAGTACCGGTTCATCTTGGAATAATTTCCTATCTCGATCGGTGAGTTTAAAGCCCTGCTTAGAATGCTAAATTAACCCATTACAAAGGGTCCAAGAAACACAAATACAAACTTCTTCCCGACAAGTATTGTTCTCTCAACTTAAACAAGATAAAAAATATTCCTCGCATGGCTCCCATAACAGGGAGTGGATCATGCATTGTTTGTGAAGTATGGAAATACTTGAACAAAGGCTTCTCCCCTGAAAAATTGAACTAGGTAGAAATAATTTAATAAAAAGCCAAACTTATAAAAATAGATATACCCTCTCCGTCTAAAATCTAAACTTCTCACAAATATTGGACTCTCTGATGAACGGACCAAGAAAATCCCAGACCAATTCAATCTAGACATTCTAGATGCAATCTCTCTCTCTCTCTCTCACACACACACACACACACACACACACACAAACACACACACACAAAAGTAAACTGGTTGCTGCTCATCGAATGAATGTGTTTCCTGGCTTGAAATCTTCATAACCAACATCCACAAGGCAAAGGCCATCCGGAGGAGCTGGAGGTGCAGTGGCTCGCCTACATGTTGCATCCATGAGCCTAAGCAACACATCATCGCCCGCACCAGCAGCTGCCTCTCTTATTGATGTTGCTACAAGAACTCGAACCATCTACAAATACTCATACAACACAAAAATGGGAGTTTATACATCAGGAAGAGAACACCAAAGGATGAAACAATAGATCACTGGATAATCTAAATCTTTAGATTCACTGAAGATATGAAAAAGGAAAGAGAGAGATCACAGAAACCAATGCATCCTAAAGGTCTCTAATTTTATGATTCTACAATCCTATAACAGGGGATGCCCCTCTAGGAGAGCTTAACATTCACTCGGAAATATACACCAATAGCAAGCCAACTGGAAAATATGTTCTTTTCTATTATTGGTAGAAAGTTGGGAGTTGGGACTTAAACCTTGGGAATTGGTGAAGTAATTCCCATGTGCCCCCAAAAAGAAACAGAGATATATTCAAAGTATACCTTACGCAAGAACCTATTTGCTACCAGTTCCACGCACATGACTCCTAATCCATTGCCATCAACCTATTAAAGCACAGTCAGTGTTTGGGCAGGTAGAGAGAGAGAGAGAGAGAGAAAGAAAGAGAGAGACGCAAGAACCTCATCTGGGCAAGGTAGTCTGGTTTCAGCTGCTCGAGCATGGTAAAGGAAGCACTCTGTGGGTGGACCCCTGACAGCAACAAAGCAGTTACTGAGTGCTCCCCTGGAAATAATACCCGTCTCTCTTTCTCCGTCTCAGAGGATATCATGGCACTTGATAGGAGGGAGAAACGGGTGAAAGGATTGTGAGTCACTTACTCATTCCTTGAAGATTTAGTATCCCTTGCAAACATTTTATAGGACAATAACCTCCCTTCCAACTGTCGCAGAATTCTATCAACCTTGCTAACACTGAATCTCATTGGTTTACTTCTCTCAAGATAGTCCTCATCTACCATTATTGAGCACCCATTCTCTAGCCCATTTTCAACCCATTCTTTCCTTTCTTCATCATGGTTGTTGCACTGAATAAAACCACCACCTATGTTTTCAAGGCCCAGGCTTTCCTCTTCAACCTTGAGAGGGAAAATGTATAAATAATGCCTCCATTTAGCTGAGAAATTAGGATGGAATGCACGTGAGACCTACAAATATGCACACATCAGCAGCTATATTTCATGAATCATGATGAAGAGAAAGGAAAATAACATAAGGAGAAAAATGACTGCAAGATAATGAAACACCAACGCATAATTGTAAAAACCAAAAGTGGAAATAGACATAATCAAAACATACATAGAAGCAACTTAATGAATATATTAGACTTATTAACTTGTATCCCCACAAGAAAAAGTTTGTCAGTGTTTGATTTATATACCAATATAGTGCAAGCATCAACAATACATTGGGCTGAGAGGGTAAACAAAATTTGCGGTTCCAAATGGATAGGAATATTTTTCTAGGATGTAAATAGGTAAGCTGACAGAATGGTTGATGTGCTCCCCAGAAACGAGTCTCTATAGTGAGCATGATCACTTAAGATTCACTCCCACAGTCCCACTGTAGTAACAAGACTAACAATCCACTTGAGCTATCCATCTA